GGTATTGGGTATTTGGTCTTCAGACAAGTTACTTAATGCCTTTCAGTATTGAACTGAAGTTACAGAGTTATTAGTGTTATTCATAATAAATTTTGATGACGCTTCCAGCAGTATATTTGTCATTCATAGCAGTAACACGAGTTATATCCTTTAAACCTGTTGTGATTAACTTCACAGGTGATTGTCGCTAGTATGGATGTTAGTAAATATCTTTCAAAATCTACTCCACCCCTACAAGCACTGGCTTACTATTCAATCTCAAAGCGTCTGAGTTTTGAAATAAAGCCATCACTGATAAAGTATAGTAGAGAGAAATGAGAAACTTCTTAAGCACAACGTTGAATATATTCTTATGTTATAATTCTGCTTAAATGAAGAAATAAGCTTATTCTTGCTAGACTTTAGTACGAAAGAGACAAAGGCTTATTTATCTCTCTCTCTCTCTCTGTGGACAATCACTTGACACAGTCATATACTCCAGAGATTGATCAAATCAGACAGTATATATATATATATATATATGCATAAACTCTGTTGTACTCCAGTTGTAACAACAGAATGCAAGACATGAAAGCCAAAGTATATTTCCATTGATCAAGCCTCTGTTTATACATATACAGTTTATATTCTTTAACCAATCAACGAGCGTGTGATTTTGGTTCACATCAAACGACATGAAATAGAATGTTCAAATATACATAGTATTCTTTTGTTAGTGCAGTATATAACCGTGGGAAATGTATTCTTTCTCTAACAGCAAATAGAATGTTTAAATAGATATATTGTATTCTGTTGCTACTGCAGTATTGAACGGAGGGAATATGTGAGATTGTCTGTAACAAACCACCAGACAATGACTTGAAAACACTATAAATACAGATGCGTAAATGCTGTTTGTTCTGAAATTGGCGCTTAAAATCTCCCCAACAGAGTTTGGTAAATTTCTCGAAAAATTCGTAATTCTATGTTGACTGAAATGCTCGGTCTCTGTTGGCATGCCGACTCCCTGTGCAAATGCTTCAACAATGTCTGACGATTAGCTTGAAGTCATTTGGGGGATGATGACTAGCAGTGGAATCCAGGATGCGGGTTTGAAACGATGGTTGCTACGTTCCTTCATTCAGTGTTGAATGCAGGTACACCAAGATGAAAAGTTCCGAATAGGACGAAGTAAACGTTCCCTGGATTCGAATGATAGTCACCATCCACCAAATTATCGCGAATTGTTGTTGATGATTTACCTCTACCTCAGGAAGTAGCTGTTCGTTGAGAGTGGTCAGTATTTTTCACGTATCATATAAGCTACTAACAAGTAGCTAACGATAAAAACTGAAATAAACTGAGCGATAGAAGACATATTTCGTTGGCTCTCATCAGTTGTATACAGACCTAAAAAAGGTACACTGTCAGCAGGTAGATTTGTCACCTACTGTAATGAAATGGTAAGAAGGTATTAACCATTATTATTACGCAATCAAATGCACCTTTACGTTCCCAGTGGAACATAGGACTTCAAGCTAGAAGCTTGAAGTTTCAATACCAGTTGTGTTTATTTTTACAGTATGGGGTTGCTAGTCTCATGCTCAACCTCCCCTCTTTACTAGGCTTATTACTGGCTTAGAGAGGTAAAGAAGTGTGTCGAACAAGGATCGAAACCTAGACCACATGAGGCGTGGTCGGCGAGCCTTCTACCTCTGTAACACCGACGCACTAATCAAATACACAAGGAGATGAAATAAAATAACATCGGTTGTCTTAAAGCTTTTTGGCAAATGTAGAAATTCACAGGCATATTCTAGAGTTATGAACGGGTGTTAAACATGAATTTGGTGTAGAAAAATAAGATAAGGTTAGTGTCGCGATTTTCACATCACCAAGGTGGTGGCTACTAAACATGTAAAAAAGTAATATATGTTAATTTAATAGAAAAGACGTTCAGAGAAGAGTTACTCTTTATAGCGATATCATTCTCAAGCTGTACAATCTCATGTATAATTTATATAGTAAATTCTCTCAGCAACAAAACTGAATACTTGCGAATATGGTTTGTGGGTTAGCTTCAACTTCAAAGTCATCTAGAGAATACGTAGGAGTCTTCCTAAACGAGTACGAATCAGACTTCTTCAAACATCAGAAGCAATGGCAATTCATATGTTAAATCCCTAAATCTGCATACTGGAGAAGCTTTTTCAGTCACTGAAATCTACAATGAACCCTAATCTGTCTTAACACAAGATACGTGATTTTTGATTTTTATCTTTTTTTAAAGAAATTGGATTATTTTGTTCTATTACTCCCTGTCAAATTTCTGTCCCTAATAACCACTGTTGTTAACTTGACTCTCATTCAGTTTGAGCTGAATTTCACTCAATGCTGTCAATTACACTTTGAAAATATTCCTTGTGTTGCTCAGAAAAATTACTATATATATACATATGTTTGAGATTGTAAAGCTTGGGAATGATATCGTTGGAAAGGGTAACTTCTCTGAACGTCGTTTCTTTTTTATTATTATTATTCTCATTGCATTCCGAGTGGAACATAGGGCTTCAACAACACATCTCCACTTTGTTCTGTTTTCTGCCGTCCTCTTCAACTGGGTCCACGATTGACCAAACTCTCTCATCTCTTCCTCACACGATCTCCTCCATGTCACCCTAGCACCGACGACCCACTCGTCGATTCCCAATGGGATTCCACTCGAGCACAGGCCTGGCACGCGATGTCATTCGGCGGCCTCCTCAATGTATGCCTGATACATCTCCACTTTCTCCTACATATTTCTTAAGCGATCGGCTCCTGGTTGGTTTGTTTCCATAGTTTCTTGTTGCTCATTCTTTCTGGCTGTCTATTTGAGCAAAGGCAGTAGTTAATGAAAGTCTTCAACCTGTTGGAAATCCTTTTCGTGACACGCAGTGCAAGTTTGTCACCCGTATAGAAGCACTGACCGACTTCACAATGGTGTTGAAAATGCGAATCTTGTTCCTTATGCTGAGTCAGTAAAGAAGATTTCCAAACTGGTTTTACGTTGATGAAGGCGTATCTTGCCTTTCTGATTCTCACTTTGACATCTTCGTCTGTTCCGCCTGTAGTTGAAACGATGCTTCCTAGCCAGATAAGTGAAGGAGGCAACCTCTGTTAAGTCCCTCCCGTTGATGGTGACTGGTCCTGGTTGTTACTGCTGTTGACTGGCTCCCTTTATATAGCTCAAATGGGGATTTTTTTAAAGTTACATTTTAATTTGGAATGACTTAACAAATTCATCAAATGTCATCTTGAAGAGTTCTACTGAAATTTGATAAAAATTCATTAAATCCTGTTTTATTACCGTATTATTACTGGTTTCACTAATTATTTCACGCATACACATAATCAATCTCCAGTCTCCATTTTCAACTCTGGAAGGTTCTTAAAATGTTGATTGACACCTGTAATTCTTTCCTTTCTTCTCCTCATAATTGCAGCTTCATAACATTAGTGATTGCCATCTCCTAAATGTTTCGTTGGATTGTCTGATATTAGCTTCTACTGATTCGCTCCCGCCAAATGTAAGATGATGTTACAGGACTGGACTATACTGACTCCTAGCTTAGAAATAGGGAGTGAAGTGGTAGAGTGTGTTGACCACTTCACTTATTTGGGAAGTTGCATCAGCCAGTGCCGATGGGTTGATCGCTGACGAAATCTCAGCTGGAAAGGATACAGAGGGCTTCATTGAGTTTACGCCGTCTCTGGCTTAGACGTGATATCTGGCTATTGACCAAAGGGTGGGTGTACTGCTCAACAGTCTGCTCCGTCCTCCTTTATGGCTGTGAGACCTGGCCATTGAAAGTAGAAGACATGAAAAGCCTGGCTAGCTGTCTTTGATCATAGGTGCTTGCGTTCTATCTCCCGTGTGAAGTTGTATAATAGGGTGAGCAATATTGAGGTTAGGCGTCGAGTGCTAGGTAAAGGGGAAATCAGTCGACGAGGCTGTGAAGCTACATCGACTGAGATGGTTAGGACATGTGTCACGTATGCCTAGCCATCGCCTTCCTCAACGGGCAATGTTAGCTGATATAGGGTCAGGCTGGAAAAGAGCTAGTGGCGGTCAAACCAAAACATGGCACCAGTCAATGAAATCCACAACAGTTAGTTTAAGCCACGTAGGAAGGTGTAGACTTCCTGGTTGGGGTCCTCGGGACGGTAAAAACCAATAGCTGGAGACAATTGGTGATATGGCTCAAAATCGTTCTCAATGGCTAGCGTAGATGCATCCACTCCTTGTGACTTATAATTTCCATTGAAACTATATTGTTCTTCGTTATTACTATTCCTTTTGTCTCATATCCCTGTTTACTGTCTCTATTTTGCATTTCTTCTACTTTCTTTTCTTGCTTTGTGTGCTACAAGGAGGGAGTGTGGCGACTTGAAGTGCTGCACATCGGTGCAAAGTTCTATGTTGAAAATAGACGGACAGAGAGCTTCCAATGACTTACTGATATGAGTACCACTCACATTAACTAGTAGTGCTAGTTAGCCAGAGCAAATAGATCTGAACACAAAATGATCATCTGTCTCAATTAGCGCGAGTCTCATCAGCTGTTTACCCTAAATGATTCAACTAAGAGAGCGAAATCAATAGAAACAATGAGAAATTTCAACACAGTTTCCCTGGGAAACCAAAATAACTCAGATGACAATACATGCATGATCTACCAGATACCATAAACAGTAGTTAAGAAGGCAAGTATAATTGCGTGATGCTTATACTACTAAATAACTGTTATAAGTAGTTAGATATCAATCATCTCATTAAATTTTGTAGAAATCGTGCATATTGACATTAAAACTAACAAATTGTAATGATTTCGTGTTCTCATGCTCATTGCTCATTGTCCTTGCTTTGTTCTACAAGTTCGTTAAAGGAAAATATTACATATATATAATTGTTTTAATAAAAAAATAAAATAATTAGTTGTGTCCTCCTTCTTCCTTTATTCTATCTCTTTCTAACTCACCTTTCACACACTCGCATAATCCAACTGGTTACAATCCACATAGATAAAATAAATATTAATAGCATAGTACCGGGACAAACTGTAGCCAGTGTTTTTAGCACAAATCTCACATTAATTTTAACACGATTCAATGCACCAATACTCCGTGAGCCAGCATCAGTAAACATTGTTGAATGCAGTAGTAATACACGAAATATTAAATATAAGCGTAAAAACATTGGAACTGATAATGTCATCTCTAAGATAACCACTGGAACAGGTTTATCACTTTGAATAAGGCCATCAGCATCATGTAATGTATTAGATACAGTAGGAAAAGGTAAATTATTGATTCGATAAGTGGAATTATCCCATGACGAGGAGGATGAGGGTGATAGTGTATTATACATATGTGTTGTCATCGGTCTACTATGATACAAAGTCGATGGATAAGAATTATCAACCAGGATATCATCAGCTTGCCGGAAACTCCATATAGTTGATGAAGGATGATATGGACTGGTGTAAGCGTATATATTGTAATTGGATAGAATTGGTGGTGGATGTACAAGACAGATGAATACTTCAATAAGTGTTAAAGAGACTTTTCTACAATTCATTGCTATCCTCCAATCTTCAATACAATTATTTATACAGAATAGCTAGAAGAGAAAAAAATAATAAATGAAATTCAAAGAGGGAAAAATATCAATATCTCATGTTGAATTACAAGTTAAATGCACAAAAAATGAGAGAGAGAGGGCGTGAAGTACTACTGTAAACGTGGCAGAAGTGAGGTGGAGTAGTAGAGTACTGTAGAGAAGAAACCAGTGTTCTTTAAATTAGGCTTCAAAAGTGATGAGATTGGAGAAAGAAGTGCCGGATGAATAAAATGACTCACTATTGAGGACTGGTCTTCCTATATAAAATAACCTGCTCACTAGCGACTGGTCCTATTGAGTCAGTGACCTGGGGTTCTAGTGGGAAGCCGTGACCAGTAGGGTACAGCAGGTTGAAGATGAGGCAGTAACTCATCGAATAAGACATTGTGGAGTTGTCGCGCTATGTCGTGACTTGGCAGAAGTTAGAATTCATGGGCTGGCCATTGAATCGGGTCCCACTGGCTTAATGCTCTAAGAGCTTGCTCTCGTTGTAACCGGAAGGTCCTGGGTCGGACCCCGGTGGTGCGTATTGATGAAGAGTCACAAACTAGGGAGAAACAGCTGTCCAGTACTCCCTGCAGGTTTTCCAATGGTTCTCTAACTGATGTCAGCTCATGATGAAATCCTCCATCCAATTATAAACAGTTGAAAGTAGATTATTTTCCCGCTGTCGTTAACTTCACCTGTATTTATGAATTCACCTGAATGGGAAAGATTCGGAGATAGTTGTCTACAAGGATTAGTGGACGCTTACAGAAGAGTCTTTATCCTGGAGTTCTAACACAATAAACTTAATGAACACATTAGAAGCTATTTAAGTTAATAGATTAAGACTGCATTTCATGATTATTTTGAACCCCTTGAATTGCTGTCACCAGCCGGCGTGAAGCTTGAATTATGTATTCCGAAAGAGACTGTTACTAAACACTGACCAGTTGTTATACAATTACTCACTGGAGAATGGCCCTATTTAGGTAGGTAGTTACCTGGGTTCTAGTGGGAAGTCGTGACCAGTAGGCTGCAGCAGGTCGGACGTCAGAACAAATACTCGTCGAAGATATTAGCTAATGGTCGAGCTATAACATAAATTAGCAGAAGTTACAATTCATGCTCTGGTCACTGAATTGGGTCCTGGTGGCTTAATGGTCTAGGAGCTTGCCTTGTAACCAGAAGATGCTGGATTTGAACCCCTGTGGTGGGTGAGTACTGATGAAGAGTCGCAACTAGGACGAAACAGCTATCCAGTACTTCCTGCTGGTTTTTCAGTGGTTTCCTAACTAACGTCAGCTCATGATAAAATCCTGTAAAAAATCAATCAAATCCCTACAAACCAATACTTAAATTTTATTTCATTTTCTATGATAATCACGAACATTTGTTTTCTTATAAAATTTTATGAATACTTTCATGATCTTTGACCTCTTTCATTATGTTTTTTGTAGTCCTTCAAATGACTGTACAACCATCTGAATCACCCTGAAATTTCAGAATATTCATCTCTTCTAACACCATATATAACTAACATAACTAATTTGTAGCCTGTCTCCATTTTTGACAATGTTATTTCTACTCTCACAAAATGAAGTGATTATTCAATCAAAGTATGTCCAAATTATGTCACACATTGACTACTACACACAAAACCTTTTGAAATGATAAAATGGATTCACCTTATCCTGCTACAAAAACCTGTTCCCATTGTATTATTCAAGTTCGCCAAGTGTTGGTTTGCTGGAATTTAATTAGTTACGGATTTGATCACGAACTGACATCAGTTAGAAAACCACTAGAAACCATGGAGTACTAGACAACTATTTCGTCCTAGTTTGGGAATCTTCTGTAGTACGTACCCACTGGGGTTCGGATGCAGGGCCTTCTTGTTAAAAGGCGAACTCGTAGACCATTAAGCCATTAGGACGTGATCCAGTGGCCCATAAACTCCAGCTGCCAATTTACGATATATGCAACACAGCAGACAATTTATCCAGTCTAACATTGAGGAAAAGAAACCGCTTTTGGCCACCACAATGTGCATTTATCAATTTACTTGTTTGCATGGAGCAAAGTATATCAGCCGTTCGCAACGTCAAGCCCGTTAACGTATTCTGGAACACTGTACAGCTTGGTTAGCCAAAGCAGAAAAGAAGAACACTCGATCGACTCTGGATATTGAGCACCCTCACATGAATGCTTCACAGTGCCACACAGAGTCCCTCAATATCGTACAAAGGGACTTCGAATATGCCATCTGTACATAGTTGAATCACTGGCTACTCGGGATCTGAAACTGGACCTCTACATTCAATAGCACCGCATGCATTCACTCGCCCTACCGTGGTCAGAGTAACGTTCTCACTATAATTTTGCTTCCTTTTATTATGTAGGTTTATTATTTATTATTATTCTCATCATCCTTATTTTATTATCAACCTACTACTGTTTATTAATAACATTGCGTTTTCATACAGATTTATATAAAAACACTTTATCGTCTTTCCACTAGTTCCTGTCCACTCTACACAGTCATATTGATTAGTCATTATCCCACACTTATTACGTCATGTCAACTTCCTCCCCCTTTTCTAATTTCCAATTAGTCACCCCTTCTAGACTACACTACGTAATAAATTTTCGAGGACAAATTTTACCAGTGTCTGATGGTTTGTCTTAGGAATTCTTCGTTAAATATAATTACGACTGTGCACAGCTTATGAAAATAAATCGTCGAAAAGAAAATTTTACTCTCTGTTTACGTCATTAACTTATATACAAAACAGCCGCCAGCCAATATCATAGGATAGTAACTGATCTATTAGTTTGTTTATTAGATGTATCACACAGTGAAACAGTATTATTATTTACTGGATGACAAAGTTTCGAACAAAATTTATTGCGGTTCATAATCATATCAGTTATAGTCAAGCATATAAGAGAAGCTTCAGAACTTAATAATTACCCTGATAAATTAGTCAGAAAGCACGTAGGGAAATGTAAAAATAAAATAAATAATGATAGTAGTGATAGAGATAATGATAACAATAATAGTAATATTAATGACGACATGCATGTCAAACATACGCAAGACAACACCAACAATAAGGAATCTAAATCATCAATAGTAATTCCATACAAGGAAGGAACCTCGGAAACCCTACGCAGAATTCTTAACAGTACAGGAATAAAAGTGGCTGGCATTCAAACCACCCAAAAACTCAATTAGAAACAAGCTTTGTCGGTTAAAGGATCCTACCAGTGGAGTCAACCAAACAAAAGAATTTAGTTAATCTAATACCCTGTCTGCAATGATTGTCGGATGCAGTACATAGGTCAAAGTAGTAGGACAGAGGCAGTCAGACTAGCCGAGCATAAAATCCTAGCAAAATCTAGATTAGTTGACCCGAATAAGATAAGAAATCTAGAGAATAGTTCAGCTATAGCACTCACTACATGCAATTACACACAACCATACAATAGGATGGGATAAGATGACAGTTTTAAAATCTAATGTAACAGGGTGAAGGAAGAGATTGATAACAGAAGCTTTGTTTATCGAATCAACTGCAAGCACGTGTAATAGGAATGATTCAACACCTGTCCACCAAGATATCTGGAAAATTCTACTACCCCAACGACGATAAATATGAGAGAACAAAGAAAACTATAAAACTCAAGTTTCGAAGTCGTGTGATTGTAACTGATCACATGATTATGAACCGCAATAAATTTTTTTTCGAAACGTCATCCAGGAAATACTAATACTGTTTCACTGTGTGATACATCTAATAAACAAACTAATATGGAATTCAAGTATTGGTTTGAAGGGATTGGTTGATTGGTTACATGATTTTATCATGAGCTGACATTGGTTAGAAAACCAGTGAAAACTTGGGAGTACTGGACAGCTGTTTCGTCAACCTGGTTTGGGACTCTTAAGCAGTACGCACCCACCACAGGGGTTCGAACCCAGGACCTTCTGGTTACAAGGCGAGCCAGCTCGTAGACCATCAAGCCACTGGGACCTGATCCAATGGCCAGTCTATGAATTCTAACTTCTGCCAATTCACGACATAGCGCGACCACTAGCCAATGTCTTTGGCGAGTATTTGTCCTCACGCCCGACCTGCTGCACCCTACTCGTCACGACTTCCCACTAGAACCCCAGGTAACTACCTACCTGAATAGGGCCAGTCGCCAGTGAGCATCTCATTCTATATTTTGGGGTTGATTGTTACAGGATTTAATCATGAGCTGACATTGGTTTGAACCCCGGTGGGTGCGTGCTGTTGAAGAATCCCAAACTAAGACGAAAGAGCTGTCCAGTGGTTCTCTAACCAATGTCAGCTCATGATGAAATCCTGTAACTAATATGGAATTACTTACTACCACAATGCCCAAGTTTTACACATAGATATAATACCTGATCAGATACTGGCTACGACTTACCATTAAAACTCCAGGTGACTGACTGTATAGAACCAGTCGCTAATGAGCATCTGGATTAAATATCAAGTGTTAGTTTGAAGGGAATTTAACTGCATACATGTGTAGGGTGAAGAAAACCGGTGTTTGCAGAGGCGTGAAATCTCAAATAAAGTTGTACTAGATGAAAAGAGAAGGAGAACTACAGTTAATCGAACATCTCGGAGTAAGCTACATTTAACTATGTTACTAAAACGGATACTTGAATAAAAGTAGAATAACCATGGATGGATCTAAACGCTCAGTATAATAACGCAATGAAAGTGTGAAAACAATCGTTTTTGAAGTGTTTCATTTCTAACTGATCAACACGAATGAGAAGTATAAGATGTAAAGTATACTCTGAATGAGATCAAATGTCATGATAAATTAACCCAAATATCACTGATATGATTATCTATACGGATAGATCATTTTCATATCTAATGGTACTGAGAAGGTTAAAAAAACTAAGTAAATCGATAAAAATGTTAACAGGGATATCTTCAGTTAAATTTCAAGTGGAAATTGGCAAACGAAAAATTCTGTAATCGTTTTAACAATTTTTACCAAATGTCATCTTAGTGGCTTTACTAACACTTTTCGCGTTTTCTCCAGTGGAACAGGTTGAGAAGAAGAAATGAAATCACGATCAAACTGTGACCACTGTTAACTGTAAACCACTGTTGTATTCAGGTAAAATTAGTGGACGCATTACTACAGCTTTAAGGAGGGTATTTAAAAGAAGATGCTACTAAGAGACACGAGATATGACAAGATATGGTATAAAGACTCAAGTCACTCTCATATTCCAATGCAAATGATGAAGAAGGGTTTATATATTTGTTTTGGATACACTCCTAAACTTTAACTGGTGGATGGTGACTAGCAGTAGAATCCAGGATGCGCATTTCGTCCTATTTGGGACTCGTCATCTGGATTCTAATTACATACCCAGACATCGTCGAAGCATCTGCACAAGAAGCCGACATGTCAACCTGAGACCGAGCACTTCGGTCCAATCAATCGACAGGAAAATCTAAAATTCAATTAAATAACACTCCTAAACTCTTTATCATGTCACTATGTTGGCTTTTAACCCTAACGTACTTTGCCACCTTAAACTGATGAACAAAGAATCCATTCTTGTGGGAAAGCAGCTAATTACGTCTATTGGTCATTAGGGAGTGCCCAATGTTATGCATCTATTCGTTGGTTTTACCAGTCAAGTTTGCGAAATGATCACCTAGCTAGCAGGTTCACTGCTGAGGTCCACTCTGAATTGATGTTAACGGGTTAGAAGAGATAGGCATGAAACCCTGCACAAACTTGATCTCATGCTTGTAGGTATTTCTTAGCAAAGTGTATCTGCAACAGTGATGAAATTCATACCCTCTTTGAGATTTCAACGCCCTTCCTGCCAGCGAGTGCCAAAAATCACGAAACCTAGATCAAATAGGACTTCCTACCGATTACCTTCAACCATCTAACATCATTTCAGAGTGCAACACGGTGGTGAGCTACCTAACTTAGTGACCGCATAGCAAACTTGACCAGTAAAATTCAGCCTACGCCAACGTCAAGGATTAGAGGCGTGACATTACATCCACAGAAGGTCAATTTTGAGTCTGATTAACTTAATGGTAGCGTCTTCCACTGCAGCACTGGATGACGTGGGTTCAAATCGCAGTAGGGACATGAGTTTTCATTTCAGGGTTGAAAATATGCCTTGCTGATGAATGCCAACAAGCACGAAAGCCGGGTCCAGAGCCTACTGTAGATTGCCTTCAACCATGTAACATCAAACGGTTAATTTCATAGATATAATTGTACTAAGTAATACACACACACATAAACACAGACAGTCACTGGATGAGGATACAGACATTCACTTACTTGAGTATCGACTGCATGATAAACCAGAGTGAGACCGACCAATATCATTGTAGATGCACTAATTAATGACTTCATTAGCATAGAATAAATAGACGTCTAAAGAGATGTGTAAAGAAAAAGAAACAGAGAAATAAAGAGAATCATTTGATCTTGCACATGTTTAATCAAATATTCATGATGCAATTCCTTTTGTTGCTAGTCATAGCTAAGTAATCCCTCGTCGAAACTAAGTTACGGGGGTAGGTTGGCTGGGAGACACTGGGCAAGTATATTTAGAGACAAATGAAAAGTCCTAAATAAATCGTATTTCTAAATCAATACGGTTTCGTCTTCTTTGTATCGCTGAAGCTCTGGCCATTCACATAGAAAAACTGGAGCTGTGCATACAAAAGAGGATTACTCAACCACTTCTACTGTCATGGTAACAACTTTTTTGATTTTGATGACTTAATTTTGTTTGTTTGCCTGTTCTTTAATTGCATATAATTCTTTATAATTCTTGTATTCATTTATAACTTTTACGTAATTTCGTATTCTCTACTTTGTTCCTATGTATATCCTGAGTAAAACTCAATCATCAAACTATTCATATCATTACATAACTTCTTTTTAACAACTGTTTGTGACAACTCATCACCTTTGTTACTATCCTAATTTCATTAACACCCAATTTTCTTGACTGACCTTGTATTATGTAACTCCAATTACCAATCTTCACCTGTTTAGCTAAAATAACCATAACCGATTGTAATTTTGTTTGACAAACTTAATGTGCAAATACGTACAGAATGACCCATATATATCTGTGATTGTACAGCTAAGAAAATGAATTCGCCGAAAAGAGACTCTTCGCTGAACTACGTGTTTTGATTTCATTCATTTTCTTTATTTGGTTTGTAAGGATGTGAAAATAGATGTCCCACTGATGACAGTGGTTGATGGTCGCACTAAACCACGAATTGGTAGAAGTTAAAATTCATGGGTTTCCCAGTGAATGGGGTCTCGGTTGCTGAATGGTGTACGAGCTTGCCTTGTGACTGGAAAGTCCTAGTTTCGAGCCCTGGCAGTGGGTGCCTACTGCCGATGATTCCCAAACTTGAATGAAACAGCTGTCCAGTATTCCTCTGTGGTTTTCAATGGTTCTCTAACTGATATCAATCCGTGGTTGAACTCGTAAAAAAGACAAATCTAATCCTTACAAACCAACTCTTGAAAATAATCATGTTTCGTCTTAAAATTGAGTTTGCGTAGTGTACTAACGGCGATTATTGGTTATCTGTCTTTCGAGTCCTTATGACTTTGGCAGGGGAAACCATTTGATTAGTCTTTATTGATTAAGGCAATTAGTTAACACTTATTAACATTGGGGTAATAATAATGAATCATCTTTCACTTACTTTCAAATAAACTTTAGCCATAATCAATTCCAATTCAAGCACCATAAGTAGAATACCCATCACAGCAAAAAACAATGAATAATCAGCAAGTTTTCTTCGTCTTTCATTGAATATTTTACGCCAATGTAATCGCCAACCAATTCCACGATTCTGTGATTTATAACTCATTTGTGGTTGGACAGACCCAAGGGGACCACCAGTTCCGTACAACGGGCGTAATTCTTCTGCATTACGACGAATTTTCGCCCGAATACCTATTGGTCGAGTGCTTCCTGCATCATCATCATCATCATCATCAACGTCATCATCACCACTCCCAGGTACGTCATCAGTATCATAGACGAGTTCTGATTGTAAGGAAGACTTCTTACTTTGTATTTGCTGTGACCCGCGTGACTTTGTCTGCTGCTGTTGTTGTTTTTGTGCTGTTGTTCTCGGACAGAGTAGGATTCATTGGAAAACATCGTTTGACCTTCATAATCATAATGATCGGATTGTTCTAATTGATTTAAACTAACAAATCGTTTATCATTCTGTTTTGCTGAATGTTGTAGACATCTTTCAGGCATTGAATCGGTTGAATTATAATAGGCTTTATTTGTCATTAATTCATTGGAATGGTCCTTATTATTATTATTTTTCACCACTGGAACAAATAATTGGAGAGATTGCTACTTTTGCTGTATCACTAATAATTGTCTTCAATGATTGTTGATGTATAGAACCGGCTTTAGTTTTGCTAATTTTATGACTGAATTTTACACTTGTATTACTTTGTAAGAGATCATTTTCATTTAAAGGCCGATTCAGCATATCAGTGTGTTGACTGTCTTTTTGATGCTTAGAATGCCGATGATGAGTGTAACTGAGTACTAGAAAATCGATAAAGAAAGAAAGAGAGAGAGAAAATATCACCAATTTTAAGGAAAAAAAGAACTAAGGGAAATATAAAAGACCGCAAGATACTCAGTGAGTCTAGAAGAAAATTGGAAAAAAAGTTGTCTCCAAACCACGAAGTTATCTTTGAAATGTGTTACGACTAACTACTAAAAGTGTGTCAATGGCACAGCGGTAGAATGCTCGCCAACCACGCCTCATGTGGTCCAGGGTTCGATCACCGGCCACTGACACACTCCTCCACCTCGCTAAGCCAGTAATAAGACTGGTAAAAAGGGGAGGTTGGGCATGAGGCTAGCAACCCCATCCCGTAAAAATAAACACCACTGCTACCGAAACTTCAAATCTCTAGCTGGAAGTCCTATGTTCCACTGGGAACGTAAAGGAATAAAAGAAACTGAAAGTTTCCATATATTATCAGAGATGCAAGAACATGGACATAGAAATAATACTGAAGGAGTTCAACAACAGCCAACAGTATATCAAGTTTTTTGTAGGAATCAGAGATGAACTCTGAATTTCATTTGTGTATGGAATGATCAGAACATGAATTTTCATTATTGAATCTCTTTGAGAAGAAAAGGAAATGTGATCCACTCTTTATCTCTAAGGGTATGCACTAATGATACAATCAATGATGAACTGAAAGGAATTAGACAAGTCCTTATTGAAAATGTATATCCGACAAGATTCATCGATAAAGACATGGAAGTGAAGTAGAAGTAAGAATGAATCTTCACGGTGCCAAAGAAATTGCTATTAATGAATGTCAAACATAAAAGTAATACGGAAACTGGGATTCTGAAGAATTGCTGAGAAAAACATCTCTTCGTCTGAGTTACCAATCAGTTTCTACAGTCGATAAATGATCAGTGGATATGTGAAGGATAAAGTGCCGGTTTCGGGTCACTTCAGTGTGTGTATATTTATAAATACAGGTGCTCCTGTGAAGCTAGTTGTATTGGCCACACAAATCTCACACTATACAAAACTCATCTGTGAACATTGTTCAGCAGTCGTCATTCCCTATAGAGCAGAGACGTCAGATGATATCAGAAAAGTACTCAAACAGCTCGACATAAGAGTTTTCTTTAGAACATCAGACACACTACGAAACAACCTTGTCCATATAAAAGACCAGATCCCTTAAGATTCTCTATCTAATTGTGTCTATAAAATAAAATGCTTGGAATGTGATGCGATATACATCGGACAAACATCTCGAGAAATCAAAATCAGAAGAAATGAACACCGTAGAGCATCTGTTCGACCACCGAGAAATCCAATTGAACTGAAAAAACTTGAAAAATCATCAGCCATAGGTCTAAATGCTATAGAATCAGGTCACAAAATTGATTTTGACAATATTGAAATAATCCAGAAAAACTTCAGAAATCACAAAGAACGTCTAATATCAGAAGCACTTCATATCAAGTGGAATCCAAATTGCCTGAATAGGAATGATGGACTAAAACAGAATCTGACCTGGTCACAACACCTCCCTCTGCTATGAAGTGACAAAATTAACACGAATGTGATACGCAAGTTCACTATGTAAACACACACTGCCTTTAGAATTTTAAACACTGATCAAATCCAACAATCTACACTTGATTTTGTTATCTTTACCAAATGACCAACTTGACAACGAAAAATGACCTCAGTCTAACGAACGATGATCAAGTTAGTAAACTTTGTTTTGATACCATAGCAGATGTACTATTACCCTTGTTATTTGGTTTAGTGATCTTCATTGTTATTCTAACTTTCAATATGTCCTTTTAACTTGACCTAAGTCTATTTTCTCACCTCTTAACTCTTTGTTATATATATGCTGAGATTTTGTAAATTCCGGTTTAATAATACTTTGATAAAGCTATTAGCAGCATTAAATAGCGAAACGTCAGTAAAAACAATATCGTTTTGTTTTTCATTCATTGTGGAATACAAAAACCTTTATTATTATAATGAATATCATATACCCAATGCCCAATTTTTTTCAAACTGTTAAAAGTGAACTTGGTTTGTTCAGCATAGTTATCAGAGAATTGATGCAATACAATTACTAGATCAGTTCTCAAACATCTGATGGACTCAGGCTACGAGGCCACACTATTTGTATCTCAAAACTATATACAAAGGCACACTGAATGGTATAAAAGGTGTTAGGTTTCGGCACTTATGTATGTCGATGACGCTAGTGATTCGTTATTATAACCTTGAACTCAGTTTCTTTAACTCTTCTTAAATCGTTTGCTTTCATTTTTAGTAATTAAGTCGGGTCCCAGTCGTTAAGTTAAATTCTTGCAAATGGAAGATCATGGGTTCCAATCCCAGTGGATGCCTACTGATGAGGAGTCTCAAACTAGGACAAAAGAGCATCGTCCAGAACTGCCTGTGGATAGTTTTCAATGGTTCTCTGACTGATATTGATCCACGGTCAGACTTGAAATAAATCAGATCCACACAAACTGACTTGAAAAACTATTATTACCCTTAAACATATTTTTTCGCACATTTTACCAAGGTTTTTCTCACCATCACACTCGTCAAATGAGCGTTTCACTACCTTGTTTCTCATAGGATGACAAATTTTAAACCCTCACTTCTTTCGTGTTGCTGACTGTTACGTAATTTGTTTTTATCCTTTGTGAAAACGTTTCCAAATAACTGTATCAGTTAAGTCCTCCGCACCACCCCCCACCTTCTATTACTAGATAGACTACTGAGACAGATTTGATGCCTCTTCTCCAGTGAAAGCAACATGAACTTGGAAGTAAGGTATTCTTTGGTCAATATAGAAACGATTGAATAGCCTTTAAAGTGTTGTTTTCTTTGGGAAATAAGATTTTGCTTCACTGAATTACCTTTTACTTTCTTTATGAAATATATATGGAATATTGTTTCTTTAGAAAAAAAAGAAAGGGGTTTAATTAAATAAATAAATAAATACTATAATTAAATAATAATAATAATAGTGATGTATTGGTAGGAGGATTAAGGGTGTAATTAAATACTAACTAAAATGTCATGGGAATCATTTTTCAAGTAGTTATGACAAATGGTCATTCAGATGGTATGAAATACAATAATATTCAAGTATTGGTTTGTAGGGATTTGTTGATACAGGATTTCATCATGAGCTGACATTGGTTAGAGAACCATTGGAAAATCTACTGGGAGTACTGGACAGCTGTTTCGTCACCTAGTTTGGGACTCTTCACAGTACGCACCCACCTCCAGGGTTCGAACCCAGGACCTCCTGGTTACAAGGTGAACTCGTAGACCATTAAGCCACTGGGACCCGATCCAACGGCCAACCCATGAATTCTAACTTCTGCCATTTCGCGACATAGCGCAACCGCTAGCCAATGTCTTTGGCGAGTATTTGTCCTCACACCCAACCTGCTGCACTCTACTTGTCACGACTTCTCACCAGAACCCAGGTAACTACCTACCTGAATAGGGCCAGTCGCCGTGAGCATCTCATCGATATTTAAGTATTGGTTTGTAGGGATTTGGTTGATTGGTTACAGGATTTCATCATGAGCCGAAGATATTGGAATTCATGGGCCATTGAATCGGGTCCCAGTGGCTTAATGGTATACGAGCTCGCCTGGTAACCAGAAGGTCCTGGGTTCGAACCCCGGTGGGTGCGTACTGCCGAAAAGTCCCAAACTGGGACGAAACAGCTGTCCACTACTCCCTGTTGGTTTTCCAATGGTCCTCTAACCAATGTCAGCTCATGATGAAATCCTGTAACCATACAATAATATTGTTATGAAGGTGACCAGAGAAAGCTAGAATAAAGAACAATAACTTATATTAGTGTAATGACTGAATGATGACTGTATATAAAGACTAGAAATACTGGAAAACTGCTTTACTCAAAGAATAGTTGATGACAGAATTACTCATCAGAATATATGTCGGTGAGACTGTCCGAGATTATTTTAGATTGGTTAGTTGATAATAATAGGCGATAGTTGAAGATAAGACTGGATTCACTAGTCGATATAATCTCAGGTTAGTAATGAAGAGACAGCTCGATTGAATTTTCTTCGTTACCTAGGATTTTACTTCCCCTGCAGTGAGTGGACTGAAAAACTAGCTTTAACTAGATAACCGTTCATATCAAGATCTTAATGGGTTTTATGAATGTCAGCCAAACTGAGAGGAGATAAAACAGGGTGAGAATTCACTGTTGGTCGATGGGCTCTCAGAGAAATGATTGAGAACCAAGGATTATTCTCAGACTTTATATGACAAAACAATGTTAAGTCATGATAAATACATGCCGTTTGGGGGAGAAGCCTCGCTTGGTTTAGTAGACGGTTAAGAAAAATAGGGAAGATTGGACAAGCAACCTTACCCCGAAAATAAGCATGGAAACATAAAATTTCCATAGGATGTTTCAAGCTGATAGGGCTGTTTAGACTGCACACGAAATAAGATATCATGTGAAAGTGCTAGGAGTCAGTGAGAGCAGAAAGAATAGAGGTGAGATCTCCAAATTGTTAAGTGAAGAGTTGGTAATCTACTCCGGTCACCCAGACAACAACAATGACCACACTCAGGGAGTAGCTATTATGATGTTACCGACAGTGACCAAAGCTCTTATGCAATGGAAACCAGTCTCACTCATGATAATCAAAGCAAGTTTCAACTCAAAATGTGGGAAAGTTACAATGCCGCGCTCTACAAACAAAGCAGATTGTTAGTAATAGAAAGGATTTCTGCAGACAGCTGTAAATAATAATGGAAAAGATCTCACATGATGCCATCAGAATTCTAATTTGTTTTTCAATCTCACTCGAGAGTGGGTAAGACAGAAAACGAACTGATCATAGGTCGGGAGGTTGTCAATAAAACAAATGAGGAAAGAGAACTAACTGATATGTTGACCGGAGACAGTGCACAAGGATGTATACAAAGTGAATAGCTCATTAGAAACATATCTGACTGTAGTACTTGGTAAGGCCAGCCTGGATCTCCTCTGGAACATCACTTAAATCTAGAATGTAGATACATCCTACTAACGAGTACCAGTAAGCAGAATATCTAGTTTGGAGACTCCTTATCAACTGCTTTCAATCATCTAACTTACACACTATTTACACTATTCATTCTACATTCGATAAAAGCTTCTCCTTTGGATTCTATTAGTTTTTCCGACTGTACATATACACATACATGCATATTTTTTGAAAATGTTACCTATAACATATTTTTAAAGTCTATTTCATTTCTTTTGCAATAAAGTGGAAGCGAAGTACATTTATCTGTTCAATGATACCAAAACTTGTTTAAATGTCATATTACTACACACACATACAGATAGAAATCAAGCCAGTTTGACACGTGAATTTATCTAAAAATAAACATACATTTGAGGTATATATAACTGTTTAGGTTAGTGTGTGATGCTGATGGTGGTTGTAGCCGTGTTTTTCTTCTTCTTATCTTCCACTAAAAATCCATAATTCTTTGTTGAAGTGTAATTAATCGATAACTGGACAGATTTCTTTCACTTTTGATATTTACTGTAGCTGTATTATTGCTTTTATTATATTTAAAAGTATTTTTAACCACATCCTGTGTATATCTCAGTAAGAATTTTTGTCTGTAGTTAAAGTGTCTAGATGATATCAAGCGTGTGGTGGGTGGTGAAGGTTGACATTAAATTTTGTAAAAGTATAAAAGTATTTCAAATTTTTCTGTGGGTATTCTAAGGATATCGACGATATTGTAGGTGAATGAAATCCGTGGAACACTTGACAGTAGTTACTCCCGACTAGTTTGAGAGTCTTCTAGACCAGGTTACAAGACCCACCTGCTAGTCATCAAGCCATTGGGTGGAAATTTACTGACTAGTGAATTCCACCTACCACGAAACTAATGCTATCTGTGAGCATCCGCTTCACTTTGACATGGTGAACCCCATGGGCCAGTACCCCTCATTGGAACAGGAAGATCCCCATCTACTATGCTCTAATGAGCTAGAGATTATAAAATTCTGAGTTTGGTATTTTTAGGAATTTGGATTAATTTCACCATAATGGGTGCATACTGCGAAAAAAAGCGATCAATTAAGACGCAACAGCTGTCCAGTGCTCCTTGGTTTTCAATCAGTGTCTAACTGACGTTGGGTCGTGACGGAATATTCATTAAAAATAAAAGTATTTGACAACAAACAATTTTTCCATCATGACTAGAAACGGTTTTCTGATATAGACACAAGTGTGTATTTGGATTATAGGTCAGTTGTTGAGGCAGCAGAATAGGATTAACAATAAGTGGTTTGATAACCCAAATCAAACCCACTTTATATACGACTACATTTCAAGGGCGATATACTATGTGAGATAATTATGAGGAAATTAAGAAAATCAGTTCAAAGAACTTTTAATGCTGGCGAACTACACGTATTATTCTCTACACGACCGATGGTGCTACCTCGACTGAAAGATGAAGTACCTAGACCAGCTACTTCAAATTGTATCTACCAATTCAACTGCGCTTGTGATGGAGCGAGTTATATTGGCCGTTGCTCTAGGAACTTGATTTTTCGTGCTCGAGAACATCTCCCAGTGTGGCTAAGTAAAGGTGTAGTGAAAACTATTAACAGCTCGATATTAGACCATCTGGTGCAAACCGGCCACAAAGCCAGCCAGCGTAGAAGAATCCTTCTCTATAATCTACCGGCTGCCCAATAGATTGCCAAAATCTTCGAAGCACCGCATGCTCCAAACAGCAGAGGCTATTGCAATTCGCCTCAAACAACCAGTGTTCTGTGTTCAAAGAAAGCAAGTAGAGACTATAAATTCATGAATTTGTAATATTATCTTTCCTAATGTTTCTGATATTCGGCTTATTTTATGTTAATGCTATCGAGCTGTAATGCATCAATATTATTGATTCGATGTTATTTAAACATTAACTCATTCATTCACTATAATGTATATATAACTGTAGAGCCTGATGATGAAGTTATCGAAAAGAGTATTCTTTGTTCAGTATCCAAATCAATATCTTTGGTTTTTTGATAAATATTTCATTTATACAGAGAAAATCTTCGCCATTCTCTAAATTCGAAAAATAATCATCTATGGTGGGTAGTAAACTTTAACTCGTTAATTGGTTGCTCTGAATAATGACAATTTTATGAAAATCCTGGTGGATCAGTGAGAGGATACTGGTCAACCATGAAAGTGGTTCGGGTTCCGACTCCCAGTAGATGCACTCCCCTACCTCGCATGGCCGGTGGTGAGTATATTAAAGAGAGGAGGTTAGGCATGAGGCCAGCAATCCCTCCTAGCATTAAAGAATGAAACCACTGCTGCTGAAACTTCAGATCTCTAGCCTTAAGCTCTTTGTTCCACTATGCGAGTAAAGGAATAGAAAAGAAGTGTAAATTAGATAATTGTATCGATCTGAAACGAAACCCCTTGTTACTGTGAACTTTGAAGCCACATCTTTCGGACTATCTGCCCAAACACTGTAATTATAAGGCTACGAGATCTAAACATCCATGAAGCTCTAATTTTATTTTAGGCACCGAAGTGTTACGTGAATTAGTGACATGTAGCTAGTTATCCCGTTGATCAGTGTCCCCGCCATCCTTTCAACATGGTTCAGACTATGTTGAACGAAAGCAGAAAACGTTAGTCGTTGTTAGATTAGACAATAAGTGAATAATCTAGATCCTTGTGCTTTTGGATCGATTATCATATACAAGATTGTTACTGATAGCTAATATTGATTTCAAGTTTGATTACGGATTATTATCAGTCAGAGATCCGGTGAAAACCAGAAGGGGTATTGGGCAGCTGTATCATTCAACTTAAGACTCTTTATCAGTACTCAATCAAGACCCTACAATCAGGGATCACTCCTGGAAACTCCAGGTTACAAGGTAAGCTTGATGACCTTTGAACCACTAGAATAGAATCCAAAAGCTGGCCAATAAGTTTTGGCCTATGTTGACTTGCGATACACGGTGCCATCACCAGCCAATGTCATCAGCTAGTATTTGTCGTCACACCCGACCTGGTGTCACTAGAACTCCAGACAAATTCATCCTGTAGTCAACCATTAGTAAACACCAGGTTATTTTGCACGTTACAGGATTTCATCATGAGCTGACATTGGTTAAAGAAACATTGGAAAACCTGGAAGTACTGGACAGCTTTTTCGTCACCTAGTTCGGGACCCTTCATCAGTACGAACTCACCGGAGCTCGAACCCAGGGCCTTCTGGTTACAAGGCGAGCTCGTAGACCATTAATCCACTGAGACCCGATCCAATGGCCAACCCATGAATTCTAACTTCTGCCAATTCACGACATCGCGCAACCGCTAACCAATGTCTTCAGCGAGTATTTGTCCTCAAGCATGAATATCAATGAGATGCTCAATAGCGACTGATCCTATTCAGGTAGGCAGATACCTGGATTCTGGTGAGAAGTCGTGACGAGTAGGGTGCAGCAGGTCGGGTGTGAGGACAAATACTCGCCGAAGACATGGGCTAGCGGTTGCGCTGTGTCGTGAATTGGCAGAAGTTAGAATTCATGGGTTGGCCATTGGATCGAGTCCCAGAGCCTTAATGGTCTACGAGCTCACCTTGTAACCAGAAGGTCCTGGGTTCGAGTCCCGGTGGATGAGTGCTGTTGAAGAGTCCCAAGCCAGGACGAAACAGCTGTCAAGTACTCCCTGCTGGTTTCCAATGGATCTCTAACCAATGTCAGCTCATGGTGAAATCCTGTAACCAATCAATCCAATCCCTACAAACCAATATTTGAATATTTTGCAAGTCTTAGTTTGTAAATATTCGATTGTTTTCAGTTTGGATCACAGGTGACAGAATCGCAGAAAGTTAGGAAATGCTGGACAATTGTTTGGTCCTAGTTTAGAGCTCTTCAGAGAAATGCCTTCAAGACTCCACTGGAATGGATCAAACCTAGAACCTTTACGTTATGAGGTGATCTTGTTGACCAATCATCTACTGATCACAACTTCTTTAACTGATATCATTCCCTGATTAAATTTGAAACCAATGAAACTTCTGCAAACTAACACATGAAAACTAATACAGAAGTAAGATACAAAACAAAAAAAGGGAACAGTAAACTTACATGGACTTATCTTAGGTGGTGAGAAGATTGATGCACTGAGTTCTTTCAATGTAGATAGATCTGTTTTAGCAGTATAACTGCTATCCACACTGATATGAGTTGATTTATTACTAGCATTATTATTATTATATCGTCTTATTTTTCTTTGTGAAGATTCAGACATTTTTCTCCGTGTTGAATGTTTATCATATACAGATTTTCTTGATTTATGCGTACCTGATGCCCAAGCCAATGCTAAAGCACCAATATGTGCTTCACGTTCAAGTAGATTTTCCGCTTTCATATCATCATCTTTTTCAAAAGAGGATTTCAAATTTTCACTTAATCTATATTCACTTAATTTTGAACCAAGATCATGAGTATTAATGTTTTGTGTAGTGAAGAGTTGATCTTTGCCATCCGAATCTGAATAATGAGATTGTTGCTGTTGGTGATGTTGTGGTTGTTGTTGTTGGGGTGGTAAATCTGCTTTAGACGGATCACTCTGTTGTCTTGGGAGTAGACATCGAATGATTGATTTACGTCGTATAATAACTGCATTATCTGGAATGATGATACTATCGTTCGGTGAACAGATTATTGAAGAGCCTGTATTATCCGATAGATTAATTAAAGTCTCATCTTTATGCCTATTTGATATATGCTCAGTTGCAGTACGTTTCAGTGTACACGGAGTTTTTTCAATTAACTCTACAGATTCAATGTTGCTTTTGATTCGATTATTGTTATTATTACTATTATTATTATTGTTATATCTAAAACTATTTTTATACTTTAGAAAATTTGTTCGTCTAAGATGATTATTCGAAATAAGAAATGATCTTGAATGTTTACGAATTTCATATCGACGTCTATCACCCTCTGGATGACCTGATCTATCCAACTGTAGACTTTGTTGTCGATAATCTTGATGATCATGATTACTGCTTGAAGTTTGATTCATTGGAACACTACTGTCTGATTTTGAAAGACATTCAAAGTTTCCGGTATCTGTTTTATTAATATCAGCGGGTGTTTGTTCACCCAACTGGAGGGCATCACAACTGTAGTACTGTAGGGAAGAAGTAGGCGAGTCTTCATTCAGTTTAGAGAATGTTTCACTTCTTTCAGTAGTTTTGCGATTATTATTATTATTATGAATATTTTGATTTTGATTACTTTTATTTTCTTCTTGTTGTGTTGTATCAACATGTTCAAGACTGGAGTTTACAGTCATCCAACTACCACTGACCGATGGTTTAATATTGGCTACATTTTCTAGAAATTTCGATGAATCAGCAGAACGAAATATTTCTAGACTATCCCTGTCTGAACTGGATTCATTCTTTAGAATGTGTGAATAACGCTTAAATCTTTGTAAGTGATAATTTAAATCGTGTGGAGATTCTACATGTTGTATTGATTGGTTTGAAGGGTTGAAGTCTGCTTTGTCTTGTTCTGTTGGATTATTTACTCTTTTATCCATTTTATGCTTTGTCGATTTAATATGGACATTTGTTATTCAATCTCTGTGAATACGAATTCATTGACTCTGTTCGTAGAATAAAGTAAGAAAAAAAAGAACAGAAAAGGCGATTATTATTTAGAGATAATTGAGATATCTATAGCAAAAAGACAACAAAATACGTTGACATAAACAAGACAGGGAGTCTAAGGCGTCTACAGTAGTTTTATCATATAAGGAGGGGACATCTGAAACCCTACATAGGATTCTTAGTACAGGCGGAGACTCACTTAAGGCCGACCTCTGTAGACTAAAGTACCCATTTCTGACATTATTATTATTATTTCCTTTAATTCTAGAGGACATAGGGCTTCAGCCGTGCGTCTCCATTCTTCGGTTCTCTGCTAGAGTCTTCACCTGGCTCCAAGTCTGCCCACACGCTTCATTCCTCTTCACATGACCTCCTCCAAGTCACCCTTGCATGACGACAACTCGCCGCTTCCCTTCGGTTTCCACTCAAGGGCTTGTCTAGTGAGTCACTTGATGGTTTCCTCAGAGTATGGCTATCCATCTCCATTTCTTCCTGCCTATTTGTTTCACAATCGGTTCCTGTGGTTGGTTCGCTCTCAGAGATCTCTGTTGCTGATCTTTCTGGCCATCTGATCTTGAGTATGAGCGAAGACAACTGTTAATGAAGGTCGTAGTTTGTTTGAGATGCTCTTTATGACGTGCTGGCAAGTCTCTGATCCGTATAGTAGCATGACTTCACATTGAGTTGAAAATCCGGATCTTATTTTTGATGCTGAGTGCTGTTGACCTCCACACAGACTTGAGAGTAGTGAAAGCTTGTCTTGACTAACTGGATAAAATAACTTGATCTACCCAATACAATGTAATAACTATAAAGCTAACTACATAAGTCAGACCAGTAGATCAGAGATAGCAGGCTTATAGGAATTGTGCGTCGGTGGCACAGCGGTTAGGACTCTCGCCGACCATGCACATGGTCCGGGGTTCAATCCCCTACAACGCACACCTGATATCAATTGGTCGGCCTGTAAAATTCGGGCTACCGATATCACATACTGAAAATTCCATACTTGTACCAAAAATACAGTGTGGAATCAAGCTGTATAAAAAATCCAGCTAAGTTAGAATGATGACTGGCTCCACAAGATGAGGATTTTCTAGAAAAACTCAGCGATTGCACACAAACACACAATCGGTTGGGATAAAGCTACAGTTTTGAAAAGTAATATGCACAAATGGAGGGCTCTCCTGGCCCAAGTGGTCTAGTGGATAACACTTTGGCGTTTGAAACTATGGGCACTGGGTTTGAGCCTCGGTGAGAACATCATCATTCACTGTGAAATGCAGGTACATCCAGATGACGAGTCCCAAATAGGACGAAATGCGCATTTTGCAAAGCGTGCCTTCCAACTACCGCAAGTATTCCTATTTATTCGTCAGCGTTTCAAGCCTGTTTATTGTCTGAAGACTGATGATTCTATGCAAATATAAGCAAACGTTAATTGAGTTTTATAAAATAATATACCAGAATTTGGTACGACTTTATTAATAAAGAGAATTAAAGAATACAATAATAATAATAATAATAATAGGAAATGTTTGGACGAAAAAAGTCACTGATTTATTTCTTTGCAAATATTGCCTAAAAATACACTTTTTCGAGGTATTCACTATCATGTCTTCGTACTAAAACTTATTTCCCTGATTATCAGATAAATACCAAACAGTCTTTTATTTCTTTTCAGTCAAAAAAATAATTATCGGGGTTATGATTATTCTGAGAACTATGAGATATTATGGATTAAGTGACTTTGAAAGGTATTGTTAGGCAAACTTTCTTGTCGTGCTTTCTAATCTCTACTGTGGTTAAAAAGCAGCAGTAATTCATTTCCACTTGTGGTCTTCGGAATTACCTGTTTTATTTTGCAGTTTATTCCACTTCTACTACTCAATAAGAACCTATATCGATAAACTTTTGTGAGCAACGAAATTTTTCTAGTTTACTTTTCTGAAATCAATCTACGTTTAAAAGAATTAAAGTATGCCGAAGTCTGTTAGCAGTGCGTCTGTGGCACATCGGTAGAATGCTCACCGACCACCCATGTGGTCCTGGGTTCGATCCCCGGCCGACGCACTCCTTTACCTCACTGCGTGAAGCCCTATGTTCCCCTGGGAACGTGAAGGAATAAAAAAAAATAAGTCTGTTAGCAGTTATCAGCTGACATGAATTAAAAGCTCATTAAGAAACAAAGTTTTATCACATCTTAAGAATTTTCATGAGTATACACTCACAACATATCAAAAGATAGAAATGATTTCAGCACGAAATGAGCACTCATCATGCCATAGTTTGGTTGGAAACTAATAATCATTAAATTCTGCTTCTTGTTAATCCTCAATAATGACACCATCGATATCCAGTATCAACGGTAAGAAGTTGTCACTAGGAATTTTGAAAACTGATCGCATGTTAACACTCCTAAGACTAATTTATATAGGTTTATGACAAGATCCATGCTGTAACCAACCAAATCTCCATAAAGGTGGCTAGTGTTTGAATATTCACAGGAAAATATATAAGTGAACAATATTGTTTCCAGTTAGATCTCATCAGGTTTCCTTTAATATAACATAACTTTTGATGACATTAGATGGTTGGAGGCAATCGGCCACAGGGAGCCTTGGACCTAGGTTTCGAGCTAGTTGACACTCACCAGTCAGCTAGGCGTATCTGCAACCTTGAAGGAACTCATGTCCCTTCTGTGATTCGAATCCGCTTCACCTATTGCTGCAGTCAGAGACGTTACCACTGAGCTATTCGGGCTGGCTCCCGATTGACTTCCGGTAGGACTGTATTGGATACTTTGATTGGACACTGGTAACTAATGTGATGTGTCTAGTCCTTTCTTTGGTGTAGACTGAATCCTGTCAGTCAAGTTTGCATTGTGGCCACCATTCTAGGTAGCTCGCCATCACGGTGCACATTGATTTGATGATATTAGATAGTTGGAGGCAATCGGCAGGAAGCCTTGCTGATGAGTGCCAACTAGCACGAAACCTAGGTCAGCAAGGCTTCCTGCCGATTGCCTCCAACCATCTAATATCATCAAATCAATGTGCACCGTGATGGCGAGCTACCTAGAATGGTGGCCACATTGCAAACTTGACTGATAGAATTCAGTCTGCACCAAACAGCAAGGACTAGACACATCACACTAGTTACTAGTGTCCAATCAAAATAACATAACTTTGTTTATAGTACAACAGGACTGCGCTTGTTTCTGTATTCAGTAATAACTTCAACATTAAGAAACACAGGTTGAGAAATGTAGAGTATTAGAAATAGTGCAAAATGGTGTGCTTATACCAACAGATGTTCAAAAATATCAAGGCTTGGAAAACAGCGGATAGGAATAAGTAATTCCAAAGAGGTAAGTAAAGCAAAACTGTAATCTCTTCGTTCGAATTTATTGACTATGGACGTAAATAAGTCATCAGTATCCAGTTATAAAAAATGTGTCTACAAACATTGAACCTGATTCCATTATCCGATGAAGAAATGGTGAGTTTCAAAACTACCTAATCGCGGGTCCAATTAGTGATAGGGTAGTGCAGATGCACTGTTAGAAAGCCCTGAACTAATACAGATCACCTTCCCTGTGCTCCCTATTTTTCTGAATGATCTCCAAATGAGGTTGGTTCATAACGAAATTAGCATCGGAATTATTCTAAATCCCCATAGAAAGACTCCATAATCAAAATATGAATTTTCAGTTCATTGATGGCTACTGGATGGATGTCCTGAAGCTGTATTCAGAAGTTGTGACCAGCGGGATGCACTAGTTGAAGTGGATGCTGACAGAAGGGACATTGGTTGGGGATAAGACTATATCAGAAATTGATAGAAGTTAGATTTCAATGGATCTTTGAAATTCGGTTTTAGTGGGTTAATGGTGAACGAGATTGGCTTCTCAGTCTGAAGTTTGAGGGTTCATTCCCTGATGAAGTCGTGGGTGAGCACTGCTGAAGAGTAGTTGCCAGTGCAAGAAGAGAGATTCTAAAAATAGTCTGTTGTCTTAATAAAACAGAGAAGTTTTAATAAAACTGCATGGAAATGAAAATCTGATGATAAGCAAATCTGAAGATAGCGATGTGATACTCTTAACAAATGAAAACAGTTACACAGGTTAGACCAGCGGGGAGTACTGGACAGCTGTTTCATCATAGTTTGGGAATCATCAGCAGTACGCACTCCCCAACATGGTTCGAACCCAGGACTTTCTCGTTACAAGGCAAGCTCGTACACCATTCAGCCACTGGGACCCGATTCAATGGCCAGCCCATGAATTCTAACTTCTACCAATTCGGGATTTTAGCGCGATCCCAGCCATTGTCGTTGGTGGGACATCCATCCACACACGTGGCATCTAATTAGACCTCACTGGTCACGACTTCTCACTAGAACTCCAGGAAGCTCCATCCTGTAGCAAGTCACTAACGAGCATCAGAATAATTTTCTACAGTTTGGTTTGTAAGGATTAGTTATGTTTTACTAGTTGATCACGGACTAATATCAGTTAGAGAACCATTGAAAAGCAGGGAGTACTGGACAGCTGCTGTTTCATCCTAGTTTGGGAATCATCGGCAGTACGCACCCACTGGGATTCGAACCCAGGACCTTCCGGTGACAAGGCAAGCTCGTATACCGATCCTTGCAAAGTATTTCGTTTTGTCAACACCAACCCTTCACCATCACACATACACACACAAGTTCATGTCATCTTTTCTAGGAAGCACGTAGATATATATATATATTCTGGTAAATTATTCATAACTTATCACATGGAACATGCATTTGCCTTTTTTATTTTCATGTATTTTCTACATTTTACTATACCTTAAGGTAAGTACTTAATGTAAGTACTTTTACATAAACACAATCTCTCTCTCACACACACACAAACACACGCCTACATACATACATGACAGTTCATAACGATCTTTGTCCATTGATGTCACCATCTTCTTCTCGGCTTTGTTATGACCTCATTATACCT